CTTGCTCCGGCTTCTTACGTGCATTTTATGTGTCCATTCGTCGGATAGGCGCCATAGATCTCGTTATCACCTATCAAGAAAATTCCCTACTCAATGTTCCCCCTTCCCTATGGTCCTTTCCTTTATCTCTCCACCTAGGTCTGGCACAACAACAATGCCTCGCTACCGTCATCTTTCATGAAGCCGACGCTCGCCCAGGCTACGACGGTCACCACCAAAGTGGGGCTTGATGATCATAGCTCTTGAGAGCGAGAGGGGCAGGGGGGATGGCGATTCTGGAGACAGTGATGGTGGGTCGATGACGACCGCATCTAGATCATCAATCTATTAAGCAACACGACGAATCTTAGATGGGTATGAAACTAACCATACTCGAATGCCTAAGTAAGAATCCGTCGCGCTATTTTGTAAACCGGCTCGGTAACCTGCCATCACATCTCTAATTATGTACTTAGGAAGATAACACTAGCAGCTCACTATGGCCGGCGAGCTCGAGCTCGCCGGCATGGGCGAGCTCGGCCCTCGCCGACGAGAGCTTGCCCTCGCCGCCATGGCGAGGGCCTAGCTCGCCATGGCCGGCGACGAGGTTGGCCCTCACCGGCGGCGAGGGCTATTTTTCGATCAAAAAAAAAAATTTTGACCAAAAAAATTCTTTTCGATGGAAAAAAAAATTTCCACGATTTTTAACTCGACCAAAAAAAAATTTGTAATTTCCAACGAAAAAAATTTGTCGGAAAAAAAATTCGTTTCCAACGAATTTAGCCACAGTTTTCCAACGAATTTTCCAACGAAAAAATTTATCGCAAATTTCAACGAAAATTGAAATTTTTCGTTGGAAAAATTTCCGACGATTATTACCAACGAATTTTTTCGTTGGAAAATTGTTGGAAATTCGTTTTCAACAATTTTTCAAATTTTCGTTGGAAATTTCGTCGGAAAAACATGTTTTTTGTAGTGTAAGGAGAACAAATAGGAATCAAGGGAATCCGGTTATGGTGTCGGCTGAGTCCAATTACGTGACGATACTCCATGCTTTGATTGGTTGTTTTAGGTTATCAAAATCAAAAAACGAAAAGAAAAGAAAATAATTATTTCATTTTTTTATTCTATTTTTTTTTGCATAATGTCGCAAGGAAAAATAAAAAAAAAATAGATGGCTGGGAGGCGCATTGGGGTCCCAATAATTGGGCACCAAGGTGGTATATGATTGCTGAAAATGACGCATCGCACGCATTTCCACGCAACAAAGGAGCCCACCGGCTGAGCCGGTCTCCGGTCCCCTCTTCTATAATGGAAAGCATTTATGTCATCAATGGCGACATGTCTAGTATTTTTCTTCGGCCATCACATCGGGAGAAGGGGACATTTTTTTATTTTCATATGTAAAGTCGCAACCAAAAAAAAAAATTAAAAGGGCACTGACACGTGTCCGTGGAGGTGCTGGTTTTAAAAATAATTTCAAGCTTGTTTGATAGCATCTTTGATGTCAAGCTTGTTTGATTGGGTTTTAAACTGTACTGAAAATTAGTTTCTGAATTTTTTTTCGGAAAAGATGTTTTATTCTATTTTAGTTTAAAGATATGTAAATCGAAGTGACTTTCGATATCATCATTTATATCATGTGATGGGAGGTTCGATGTTAGATAAAAGTTGTATTTTCACGCTGTGAAAGTTAAAATAACAACCGTAAGTGAAAAATTAAAAGGTGGACCGACACTCATTGAACACCCACTTAAGTAATTTTCTTTAGAATTTTTTTTTTCATGTATGAGGGAAGAAGATAAAAGTTTAAATGACTCTTGAATTATACAAAACTAATCGTGAAAAATTGATGCATATATTTGATATTCCCTCCGACCACATATAACTATAGATACGGAAAAATGTAATTGACGACAATCAAGATGATTTATATTCTAAATATTGTCAAGTGTTCCATAAATTTCTCATCTTCCCCTTTACAGTAGTTGATATCATATACAAAAGATGGATTAGAAGTTTCATTAGGATTTTTACATACCACTTTATTCTCCATTAATTTCATTTTTTCGGTTATTTCTCTTCACATTGCAACATGCGTACAATCTTCTAGTAAATTATAGGGCATCACCTAAATATTTCCTCTCTTGTCTGTGTCAACAAAAAGTGTCTTTCGCTTTCCATGCCCCCACCAAACCCTACTGTCCAAAAAAAAAAAGAGAAAAGTTAAACAAAACACCCGTTACCATGCTTTCATTGATATTTTTTTAAGTGCAGAAAACATAAGATTTGTTTTATGAATAATTCAACTATACATAAAAAAAAATTAGTAAAAGTAAGGTTCTTATTTACTTTGGTTTTGGATGATTTTTATTTAATTGGATTCGAGATATGCATTCAACTTGGTAGGATACTCTTTGACCTAACCGCATTATGAGAAAATTTCCTAGCTGCCTATGATATCCTAGACCTGTTATTTTTTTCCATATATTAAAATTGAGCTCGTGGGGGGGCTAAATCTCTGACTGGTAAATGTTCATCATCAGCTGAAACTTGAAAGAGCTTCCAACTATAATTTGACTCGTTAAATTTAATTAGAATTCTTGATTATATATGATAGTAATGAATGTAGATCAAGTCAAATGCGTCAGAGTGTTAATGTTTTTATTCATGTTAGGAAGGGAAAAGATACACTGATCTTCTTCTGATGACAACCTTCCACCGGTCGAAGATCCCGCGGCATTGACAAATTCTTCTGATGCAATTCGTATATATTCAGATTGATATTCTTCAATCCTCAATAATTAATGTACAGAAGTTCTGCCACGTCTCCGTTGAAAAGGGTTCAAACAAATTTGACGCAATGACACTTATGAATATAGATAGATAATACAGATCGAAATTGAGATCATGCGCCCTATTGCTATGTAGAAAAGATAAAGGATAATTACTTCACCGGAGATAATTATATGAGATTGAGTATGATAAAATGGATTAGTCGGACTCGGATGTCGATCCTTCACCTTGCATGATACTGTCCTTGATGTCTCAATAAATCTCATTGATTGATCGATGAAAATGATGTTTTACATCAACAATAGAGACTTATCGAGACATCGAAAGGAAGCACCGTGCAAGGTAGAGAGGACCTTCATCGGGATCGATACATCCTCAGCAATTGTTAATTTAGGCCGAAACCGATGAAGGTGAGATCAAATGTGCAAATGATTATTTAAAAGATTATTCCCGCGAAAAAAGGCTAAAGTCGGGGAAAATATCTTTGACTTTCTTATGAGTTATCAATTCTTCTAATAAATGTTGACATCACCATTATAGAACTTTATAGCTCTTGACCATTTCTTCCCACTAAATGGGCACGCAACTAGATGGAGAACGCGAGGGAGGAGAAAGTACCAACTCGATTGTCGCTTTGTGAAACAACTGTGAATGAAATATATCATTTTTAAATGATTTGACAAAAAACTATAGTTTGCACTTGAAAGCGATCAGGTGATCAAAATGGAAAAAAGATCGATATAAATTGACAAAATTATAACCTCGTGCTTTAATATCATATGAGATTGTGTGAGATCACTATCAATTATTATAAAAAAAATTAAGATGTTAAATGAATGCATGGTTTAATATATATGTATATTATTAATATTTAAATATTATAACATTAGTAATGTAGACATGGCAGCCTATGTAACGTGGGTTATATCATGCAATTAAGCATTTGTATTTGCCACCAAGAAAATGTACCTTAGAACTAGAACCTGAAAAATATAGCATTCAAAAACAAAAGTTCAACATCATCAAGTTTTGCCCTAAAAAAATTGAGAAAATATCAAAAGCATATATAGCATTTCAATCAATGATCACTTCCATACCTCTACTTTGAAAATATCATATGCATACTTGAGTTTTACTTTTGGAGACCACCGTGTACCTCAACATTACTTATCCATGTGTATCTTTTTACGAAAATGCCATTTTCTTTTTAAAAATCTCCCGTTCCTCAAATCCTAAATTCCACATCCACCAAGAACACTCAAAATCAACTTTTACCAAACTATCCAAGTCCTAAGCAAGATACTAAAATATAACTCTAAGAAGAGGCAATCGGGTGGCAAGGTTTCGCGCAGAAATATGCAAATAATATTGACAAAAGTAGAGGTATGTAAGCACTAGGTCAAAAGTAAGGTATGTTTTTTTCTTTTTGTGCTTTCTCGAGAAAATACGAAGGATGAATATTGTTTATTTTCATTTTTTGCTAAGGTAGAAGAAGAAGAAGAATTGGAAGAGGCTATCGAGTTGCCAGTGCTAGAATTTCGGAAGACTTGTTTCAGAGGGCGAGATGAGTTGATATGGCCAATATAATTCTTATAGTTTCCTTTAATACAAAAAAGACATGCATAAATATTTTGACAAGAAAGATAATAAAGCACAATTAAAAAAAAAATCGACAATAATAGAAAGAGAGGAAAAAGATCGAAAAAGAGTGGAAAAAATTGCGAAGAAAAGTGAAAGTAACAGAGGTGGACGGTCGATATGATAAATATGGGAGGTTAATATAGATTTGATATATTTATATATACAATATATAAGGGATGCTAGCGTATATATTTTCACACAAACTCCAAAAGTGAAAAAAATGTTCAACCCCAACGCTATCTTTCGTATTGATCCATGTAAAACCCTAGCTTGTGTTTTTCCTTTTCCCGCACGACAAAAGGGATTGGGAGGGCATCGTGATCGCACCACTGCCCTATATGTCACTTTTGTAATAATCTATATATGTCGTTTTATCATTTACGTACGCCATATTTTATAATATTTTCCTTTTATGAGAAAAGAAAAGGAAGAAAAAGAGGAAAAAGAGAGAGAGAGAGGAGAAGCGTGACGTGGGACTTCTTGTACCTTGAGCCCGCAAGCAACGGCCCAGATGCTCTCTCTCTCTCTCTCTCTCTCTCTCTCTCTCTCTCTCTCTCTTTCTCTCTCCCTCTCCCGACCTTGTTTTATCCCCCTCTCCCTTCCGTCCCTCCATACCCACCTCCCATTAACTCTCTCTCTTTCTCTCTCTACAGCGAGTCACTGAGTGTGCAGCTCTGTGTTGCACAGCTGAGACACTAGTCCAGAAGGAGGAGGAGGAGGAGGAAGAAGAAGAAGAAGAAGAAGAGGTGGGTGCGATGTTGCTAGGAAAGCGCCCGCGCCATCGGATTCGGAGGACGACCAGCGTGACCAGCATCACCGTCGTCGACCTAGAGGTGGACGACGACGCGCAGGGGCCGTCGGACGCCCGCCAGGACCCTGCCGGTGAGAGCGGTGCGCTGCGAGACGGGGCGGCCCCTCCCGATCATCACCACCACGGCGGCGGTGAGAACGTCAGCATGGACAGCTTCGGACCGTACGACGACCGTCAGAGCAGCTTCCAGGCGCTGGTGTCGCCGAGGAACTACAGCAACGTGGAGGCCGAGGGTGCTCATTTTCTGACCACCTGCGGACTCTGCAAGCGCCGTTTGTTTCCTGGTCGCGATATTTACATGTACAGGTATTCTTTATATATATATATATACATATCTGCTCTTTCTTCTGTGTCGCTTTTGCGTTTGTCGAAGGCGATTGCTATATACACAGACGTCTGCAATCTAAACAGTTCTGGACACCCTGTTAGCTTCTGAAGTTGTCACACGTTTGCTCACAAGTGAATCTTGTTTCTTCTTTACCGAGTTTGTCTTCGAGATCCACTGAAGAAACCGTTTGTCTCGTTTTCGAACCCCCTTTTCTTTTCTCCCTTTGCAGTTCAATCAAATCTACCCGTCAAAGAAAAAAGAGAGAGAAGATAACATGTTTATCTTCTTTTTCTTAGAAAAAAGAAAGAAAGACTAGCGGTTCGGAAAATGCTGAAAAACAAATTCTCTTTTGGGTTGTCTGAGTCTCTGCATAATTGCACGTTTGGGACAGGGTTTCAATCATTTTTTTGTCTGCGAAATATGATACGCAGGAAAGAGGAGTGTCGAATAGAAAACGTCCAATTTTTTCTATTTTCTTTAGGCATAATTTTCTTTGAGTGTCGGAAGGTGAGCCCAGCATATTCACAGCATCATCTGGAATTTGCAGGCACTTAGCTAGTGATCTGGAATTTAAGCAAAAGAGGGTTTGAAACCTTCAACCTTTTATTACGTCATAAAATGCGACAATGCATGTAGATGTAGATCATGTTACCAAGTGCACGGCACTTAAAATATTGTACATCTAAGCATGGCTTCAAAATCTAACAAGGCAAAGTCGCGTGTCTTGGAGCATGTGTATCAAATAAATTCCGTCGCCACGCTCTTTTTTAGGGTATAAAAATATAAATTCACTGACTGTAGTGGGATGAACAAAGTCCAAATTTAAGGATGCCAGTTAACAAGATCTTATAAAGATTCGTTGCTATAGCCCCTCTCTCGCGAGATCGTACGGCAGAACCGACATGCGTGAATTCCACACTGACATTATTAGATAGGTGAAAGGTACAGTGGGTTTTGGCGTGGCATGTTAGGGTTTGGGAACCATACTATGGTCTGAATTTTCAGATATCAATTGTACTGCTTATTGAGTCTGATGACTAATAAAACGATGGCGTGGCAGGGGAGATACGGCCTTTTGTAGCCATGAGTGTAGGGAACAGCAGATGAAGCAGGACGAGAAGCAAGAGAAGCACAACAATCCCAACGTTGCAGCCAATTCACGTCGACAAGGTCCGAAGGCATCGCCAGTCTAGAGAGAGAAACCTTCTGTAATTACTCTCCAATGGAGAGAGAGAGAGAGAGAGAGAGAGAGAGAGAGAGAGAGAGAGAGAGAGAGAAAGAGAGAGATTATGATGATGATGACGACGACTACATGGAAGCGAATTTCAACCATTTCCTCTTCTGTTAATTTGTATGCATTGCCTCAGAAGTAAATATTCTCTCTCTGTGGGATATATGGCGTTCACATATATACATATGTCCGACGATTGAAATTCACGAAACATGCCGGTATTTACTAATCAATCTTGTGAAATAGGGAGCTAATGATGTTTCGAATGCTCAGTTTCGAAGGTGTTGGTTGTTTAGTCATCGATTAAACTTTGATTTAGTTCCAAGTTGAAATTATCATTTATGTCCCATTCACTGAATACTTTTTCCTATGACACCCGGCAAATGTTTGGCAAGTCAAAATGCCAAGTTATCTTCATAGTTTAGATGAAGAATGATGATTGTCCAATTCAAGATTAGTTCGAAGGGTGGTCGAGCGACGTAGTGAAAACAAGTATTTAGGCACAACATGCTGGCAAGCACCGGTTAGAAAAAAATCTGTTAAGGTGTGTTTGTTTCACGGAAAACGTAGCGTTTTTGGAAAATGTTTTCCAAGAAATCATTTTTCAGGAAAATTGTTAGTTTTCCTTCGTTTGGTGATATGTGATCGAAATTTTTTTCTTGTGTTTGGATCTCATTTGGAAAATGGTTTCGAAATGCGTTTGTTTCACCAACCAGCACTTGTGGCCTATTGCCGAGGCCAATGACCGGCGGAGGGAGTAAGAAGGAAAAGGAAAAGAAAAAAGAAAAAAAAAGAAAGAAAAGAAAAAAATAGTAACAAATTCAAGATGAGCAATTCCAGAAAGTGTTTTACTTGCTTAGATTAGGGAATTCACTTTCCTAATTTTATATATGAATGTTTTCCTTGATCGGAAAGTATTTTCGATTAACTTATCATTTTCGGCGAACCAAACGGGTGAAAGTCCAGAAAACGGATTTCCGGAAAACACTTTCTCTCAAACAAACGCACCCTTAGTATGATTCTCAAAATCAATGTTTAAAACTCTTTATAAAAGAGAATAATACGAATATAAATGGTCTGAAATTCTGAAGACGTCCTAATGAATGATAATTAAAAAAATATTCAAAAAAGAGAAGAAAATGTTATCTAAGATGTATTTGTGTAACTAAAAAGAAAAAAAATTACTCAAACTTATAAGATAAATTTCTCAACCATTATCTTTCCTTGCCAACAGCTTTTGAAGCTTTAAGGGAAAATATATAAAGATGAAGGGAACTAAATACCAACAGTTTCCAACACAATGTTTTACAAAATGTTAAAGAGTGTCCTTTGGCATTTGTTAAGTCCCATTAAATGTCCTTTGAAAAATTAAATTTACTACTTAAAGTAAGTGCCTTTATTAAAACATTTAATCATTCCATTTTTAAGGTGTCTTATAAATTGTTATTTTCACGTATAGTAAATTTAACTAGTGCCCTAAGAACACTTGTTAACAAGACTCGTATAATAATATTAATTATTGTAAGTTAACTCAATACGAGACTCATATATATATATATATATATATATATATATATATATATATATATATATGTAGCAACAACATAATCGAATCGATCAAAACAACAAAATATCATATCCCATGTTAAGAAGTTATGCCCACATATAATTAGGGTTTTAGCATCTCCATGGATAGTAAATCCCTATTCTCACACATCGGTTCTTTCTTTGTGCCACAAATTCTCACCTATTCATCGAAGTTCAAGTGTGCACTTGCATTCGAAGTGGTATTTTCAATTGTGACATATGCCAAATAGATGGAAAAGGCTTTCAAAAAATAATTTCCACAACATGCACATGAAAAATTCATAATTTATCTTCGCACCAATTCTTATCGTGATATTCATGATCAATATTTGAAATTCGGACATTCCTTACTACACCATCTTTAATAAGTAATAATTATTCTGAGAATGCTGGTTAGTAGGACACTTATTAAAAGGAAAAGGTCCTTAAAAGGTAAACCTAAGTAAACAAATGCTCCCTGTCTAAATCATTCCACGTCCTTCTCTCCAAAATGATTGGTGAACTGTCTTTGCTAATGGCACGAACTCCATCATCACTAATTTTTAATTTTTTTACCCTCGATTATTTTTTTTTTCCTCAGCCTCGAAAGTGTCATTTCCAACTTCCAAAATTTTACTGGTCCCCCCCTCAACTTTTTGTAATTTTATGTTTTTCTACCCTTTCTTGATGCCATCATCACCACCCCCATACATTATTTTATTGGATTCTCTGTGGGTTTGTAATTGGTTCTCGAGAATAAGTGCGCTGCGGTTCTTGACTTCATCATGCAATTTGGAGATTTGTAAGTCCTTTGTTTTGCTAGAAAATGACCATGTTGATTTGTATCAATACCATATTTCTATTGGACCCCCTTTCCTTTTTTTTTTGGCATGAAAATATATTGGTAAGAGTCAAAACCTTGGGGTAAAATTAATTTAAACTCGTGAGAAAAAAGAAGAAAATATCTCATAATGAGAAAAGGAGGAATGAAATAAGGAGAAAGATGGCAATAAACCAATTTCAAATTAAAGTTTTCCAGTAAAATTTATCAAGTGCACTCGTCTCTGATCTCAAATGCACTAACTAATTGCTAGACCATATGGGTTTATGATCCTTTGATAGCCCGAAGAGAATGCCCAAATACATCATTGAAGTCCACGATTTAGATGATAGAAAACGAAGACGCTTTAACCCTCTTGGAGATCATTGTGTGAGATAATTCAATGAGGTGAATAGTGGGCTTCAAAGCTTTTTTCGGATCTTAGAAAATGTTAGAAATTTAGGGTTACACTATTAGACCGATAAAACCAGCCGGTTTTGCGAATATGCTCTCCATTTGCCACTTTATAGATTAGAAAACTTCCAAAATCTGAGAGCATTACGGTATCAATTAATGGCTTCTAGAAATCAACATAAGGTCTCTCTGGAAGGTCGAGATCGTGGGCCCTCCATTAACCCTTAGCTCACTCCTCATCTCCCATTCGCCTCTCTTGCTTGTGCTTTTCTGAAAGTATTATAGAGCAACTCGGTGCGGACCATCGAATAGCATTTGGCCTAGGAAGCTTCGCAAGACGTTTACTTCTTCGTTTCTTTCCTCACTTTCACTTTTAATTTTGTGCATTTTGCATCTTGATTTTCAACGATTGAAAATAACGCAATTAAAGATGATTTGACGTTTCACTTTACGAATCGGCGGGACCGTCGCCATGGAATCGACGTCTTTCCCAAATAATTTAATTAATTTCTCGATGACGAAATTGGCTTTTTTTTAAAATTTATTTATTTTGGAGCTTATTCTCTTTCTGATTGTTATGGCGTTTAGTTGGTAGGTTATGCTGTCTTGGGGCCCCTTCGCATTCTCATTATTATTAATTTTTTGTCTCTATCATTTCCATCACTCTGTAGGGACCAACCCCAGTTAGACTGAGACAGCACCATGCCTTCAAATTTTTCCAATTTTGATTGAAGATTTGAGTCGTTTTCCAGGCGTAAATTGTAGTATATTTGTGATTTTGTCAACATCGTGTAATTTCTTTTCCATGTATATTTTCAAAAAAAAGAAAAAATTTGCTCTATGTCTTTCATTTTGTCGAGAAAGTTAAAGATATGTTCTTTGTTCTTATAACGTGCAAGATCCTCTTTGTTATTACTTTGGACACTGCTCACAATGAATTAAGGCTTTTGGGTAATGGCTCAATCATGATTAGTGGTGATGTAGGGTTCGAGTCTCTCGTCGTTCGTCAGGAAGAGATAAGAACCTTTCGTTAAATTGCGGATTAAATTTCTCGAAACAGTCCACTGTGCATGAGTTTATCAGGTGACGGGGGTACCGATCGATACGATTAACGTGCACTATCGAACTCAGCTCTTAGTCAAGGGTAATCTTAATCTAAAATTGTTTTTCTCTTTTGCCTCCTACAATTTTCTGATGAATTTGGGTTAATTACATTAAGGGAATCCGAATTCCATACAATATTCAATCAGGGTCGTTGCTAATTGATGGGTTGGATTCACTCTCCAGACCAGGTACGATTCCATAGATATATAAAAGTACCAATCCTATAGAAAATGCAACCAAATCTTGGAGGCCAAAAACCATAGAGATTCGCAAGGAATCTTGTACCAATATTTATATACATGGTCAATGGCCCTCCAATAGCAATTCCCTATTTAGTTAGCTAAATAATTCTAGGTCTAGAACCAATTTCCATTAAAAGCCTCTAATTTAAACCCGACGTCGAATTTGTCAATTGGAGGTGATTTGGACACTGAGGGCGTGTTTGGCAACCGGCCAAACAGTAATTATTTCTATTCTTTTGTTCGCAGAATCAGTTCTGGAACAAAAATCTGTTTGGTAAATTTTTTGTTCCCGGGCACAAATTTGCAAAAATTTGTTCCCAGAATCAGTTTTGGAATAGAATCAAGAAGTAAAAGGGAACAAGAATCAGAAATGGAAATTTTTTTTTTCTTCTTCTTGGTTTTCTTCTTCTTCTTCTTCTTCTTGGCCTATGGCCGGTAGCCGGTGGCCACAGGCCAGGGCCGGAGAGGGCGTTGCGGCCCTTGCCGGATTTGGCATGGGCGACCCTCGCCGGCCCTAGCCATGGCCAATGAAAGGGAAGAAGAAAAAAAAAAGAAATATTAAAAAAATTAGAAATATTATTAAAAAATTATTAATAAAAAGAAATTTTGTGAAGTTACCAAATACGTTTCTGTTCTTTTTCCATTCCAAGAATAGAAATTTTGAGCAGTTACTAAACACTTTCAAATGCTTAGAAATTGTTCCCGAACACGGAATTAAAAAGAATAATTTCTGAACAAAAATTATTTTTGAGAACATAATGATTGCCAAACACGTCTTGATTGGCTCGATTCCAAGATTGATTAGTGACTCTAATAGATTTCTAGGGACTCCTTTGTTGGACTTCCAGGTGTCAGCCAATTCCAATGTTTCGTGCCTAGGGTTGGGAACGAAGCCACCAGTGGAAGGAATAAAACAAGAAAAATTAAAGATCGATGTCTTGTACTGTAATTACAAGACAGGTCAAGTCCTTTTGGACATATTGTTTTGTTGCCTTCTTTTTGTTTATTGGATCGAAAAGTATTTCGATATTGTCTTTTGTGTGGCTGATATCACGAGCGATTAATTTAATTTCGCCGATGAGGAAGAAAATAACATCGCATAATACCGACGGACGAATGCTGCCATTCTATAGGTCAAGGAGGGATGAGAATGTTGTCAAATATTTATGCTTCGTTTGTTTTATGAAAAATATTTTTTAAATACACATTTTTCTCATTTGGATCGTTTAAGAAAATGAGTCAAGAAAAAATATTTTCTAACCAACTAAAACCTATGATTAATTTAGGAAAATGATAACCTCTTTAAAGAAGCGGAAATCAATTTTTAAAATATATATAGATATTGGCGTTTAGATCAAAAACTCTACGCTTGGGTACGAAAACCTTTAATGCTTGTTACCGGATCCTAGATCGGGCCTGGGTCCATCAAGGCCGAGCCTGTGACTCCGGTGCCCATGCTTGAGTCCTCGACACTTGTGCCCAAGTTAATCAAGGCTAGGCCCCTGGTGCCCGTGCTCTTGTCCTCGACGCCTACGCCCGGATCCATCGAGGCCAAGCCCTAAGTCCACAAAGATCGAGCATGGGACCTCCATACCTGTGCCTAAGTCCCTAGTGCCAGTGCCCTTGCCTGGATCTCTTTCGCGCGAGCCCAAATCCATCAAGAGACTGAGGCCTAGATACCTAATGCTCGTGCTCTCAAGTCCATTGAGGCCGAGGCCCAGGACCTTAGTGCTTGTGCCTAGGTCCATCGAGGTCGGACCTGGGATCCCGATGCCCATGCTTGATTCTTCGATTGCCCGTGTGCAATTTACCAACTTGTGAATAGTGTATATGTATTTAGGAAAATCAAATCGGATTTTCCTTTCCAAACGACGAAGAATATTTTGCGGTTTCAGCCAAATACCAAAAAGTATTGCCAATTTCCAAGAAAATAACTTCCTAAAAAATATTTTTAAGAAATGTAACATTTCCGGTGAAACAAATGAAGCCTTAGACTCGATTAAGGCTTTCTAAATTGGGTGACAAATTGTCTAATAGATCAAACTATTATTAGGACCGTTTCGATTTCTATTCAAAGGAAGTAGTCCGAGCAATATCGCGAGGAGTACTTTCTTGCGGTTCCCCAATCGCAGCTTGATGACTTGACTTCAGCTTGACCCAGAAAGTAGGCTTAGTGTGATGTATGAGAACTTACACCGAGGGTACAACCTGATGATATACCGACGCCCATGGATCGGGGTCCATCATAATTGTTAATCATACGCATCCCTAATGCGGTCAGTGACTAAGGGCCTGTTTGGCAACTGGTCAAATAGTGAAAATTTCTGTTCTTTTGTTCCCAGAATCAGTTTTGGAACAGAAATCCGTTTGTTAAATTTTTTTATTCTGGGCACAAATTTGCAAGAATTTGTGCTCAAAATCAATTTTGGAGCAGAATCAAGAATAAAAATAAAGTAGTTTCTTGATTCTGGGAACAAAAATGAGAATCAATTTTTTTTTCTTCTTCTTTTTCTTAGTTTTTAATGTAGCTTCTAATGTCCGGCACAAGGGCCACCTTCGCCGTATCTGGCGAGATTAAAATATTTTAATAAAAAAATGTTATTAATAAAAAAAATATTTTACCGGCCATGAACAAAAAAAAATTATTTTACCAACCATGGCCGGCGACCAAGCCATGAAAAAAAATATTTTTAATAAAAAAAATATTTTACCGGCCATGGCCGGCGACCAGGCCATGGCAAAAAAAAAAAGAAAAAAAATATTTTCAATAAAAATATCTTTTATTAAAATATTTTAATAAAAAATTATTATTAATAAAAAATTATTTATAAAAAAAGAATTTTACTGGCCTTGACCAAAAAAAAGAAAAATATATTTTTAATAAAAAATTTTTACCAGTCATGGCCAAAAAAAATAAAAAAATTATTTTTAATAAAAAAAATATTTTACCGACTATGGCCAAGGAGGAGAAGAAAAAAAGAAAAGAAAAAAAAAGAAAAAAAGAAAGAAATATTAAAATATTTAAAATATTATTAATAAAAATAAATTTTATGCCGTTACCAAACGCATTTCTGTTCTTTTACTATTTCAGGAATAGAAATTTTGGGTCGTTATCAAAACCCTTCAAATATTCAGAATCAGTTTCCGGGCACAGAATAAAAAAGAATCATTTCTAAGCAGAATCAATTCCCGGCCACAGAATTATTGCCATGTGCATCCTAAGTCCGATGAATCTTGGTGTTCAAGCAGGTCCATTCCCCCCTTGCAAGGATAAATGAGTCGGTATCGTTGCACGTAAATCAGAGCACAGTTAAATCAGGTGAGACCCACCCGGGCTTTTGCGAGGACTTTGGCCCGACGAAGAAGTCAAAGATGTTTTTTTTTTGGGTAACTTTTAATTTTCCCTTAACTCCACTGGGCCAAAACGGCTTTTTTGAGGAGCTTGCACTCTTAGGACTTCAATACTTGGGCTTCCATTCTATGCTTGCAAACACACCAATTCTTCAGACGACATCAACCATATGGGCTGGTGGCAAATCCGCAAGTCCAAAGCCTTTCGAGCCCGTTTTTAGAGTCTCGCGTTGACAGATCAATGATGAACCACCCTCTCTGCCTTGAAAGATCTACACTTTGTACGCCATAGAAGTTGTACCAAGTTTGTAGATTGCAAGGTATGATTTGACCGTGGTATTAATGGACAATCTTAGCTGGTTCTTCTGTTCTTGATGTGAAAATTACACGGAACTGGGAAATGTATCGAGAAACAACTTGCCCTTCAGATGTGTTCCGCGGTTTTCTATTTTCGGAGGGAACTGAGAAGCAAATTCTCATGATACTTCATCCACATGAAATGATAAAAGATTGTATGGGAAAGAGAATGCACAGAAGCTTTGCATCGAAAGACATTTTAACTTTGATTTTCCATTACAAAATGGGTGGAGCAGACTAAAGCCACTCTGCGCGTGCCGAGCACCTTCGCATACAGCATAACCATGAAATTAATATAGACATAAGGACAATCTTCACGGCTAACATAATCACAACGGAATTTGGCAGGGGAAAGAAAGAGCAAGTTGTTTTGGAACCAGAGAGCAAGCGAGGGTGCAGGGTTGCGACCAGCTCTTCACTTGTACTCCAAGATCATGTTGTTCTCCGGGGCCAAGCCCACGCAGGCCCTCAGTATGTTCTCGAGCATCGCCCTCTGCTTCGCCAGCGCATTCACCACGGGCGTGCCTGGTGGGACCTGTTCCAAGCGACATCCGTGAATCACATATAGATCACATTACCAACATCAGAAGACTAAATTTTTTGTCATCCGATCATCACAAACTAAGAACAGAAAAAACAATGAGATGAGACTTGAGCTTACAAGAGGGGCCTTGGTGAGGTAGCTGAGGATGGTTGCAACTGGGTGGAATGAGTGAAATTTGCCCTGCAAAAATCAAATTTGTCTTGGCATCACAAGTTACAACCCACAGATGGTTGGATTCAGAAGCAAACAATCTTGGCCAATTTTGGATGATATCATAACAGTGCCAAGACAAAAGAAGGAACAAATGAAAACAAGAGTGGATTGTATTTGAAAGAATTAGTATACCTCGCCTTCGGCCTTGAGCTGGATCCGAGTGCTGAGCTCGGCCAGGAGGACCAAATCGAGGATGATCGGGGCGGCCAAGAGGGAGTCCTCGCACGTGTTGTGGAGGACGATGGTGTTCTTGCCTCCCATGAATATCTCCGATGTGTACTCATCCATTGCCCGCTTGCTGTCCCCGACATATGGCACATACTGCAAGCATATTACAACAAAACAACACGATTTACATCACCGCACCGCTCGTGCCGGACCGACAGAACACGACAAAAATGGACATAGACAAATAAGACCGGCTAAATTTGGTTCGATTTTGATGCATACAGTTTCTTTGGCCAAATAATCACAACTATCTCGAGTTTAGTTAAGTTGCAAGTGATGTATAACGCTCTTTGAAAGAGTCTCAGTTCATCTTGAATTCACATTGAAATCATGACCTGCCACAATCTATCTCAACAAACATTAGAGAAAATCATGTGCTTACAATTCAATCTTGTCATAAATTGATCAATGTAATATCTCCATTTAAATGAAATTAATTGAAAACTCCATCAGTGATCAAGCACTTTTGTGGTGACTGTCGAAAAGAATTTTCACACAAAGAGAAGAGGAGACGGAAATGGCCATACCTTGATGACCACGACGTGGTCTGGGTGCTCACCGGGCTCGTACAGAATGGCATTGCTGGAGACCATGTCATCGACAACATTGCTCTTCGAGATCTCCTTGGACCGGAATGTCTGAGGGGCCGAGAGATTCATCCCGTCGTTGTTGCCGAGATGGTTGTAGCTCACAATCGATGTCGGCTGTTCAATCACCACATTTTAATTGTAAAGATATGTCTTAGGAATATGTAACACATCACATTAATTAGTGTCTTTTGTTTCTTTTCTCCCGAATTGGTATAAAATCAAATCTAACAGATTAATAGAAGATAAAGAATGCAGTGTACCTTGATCCCAGCCCCAACCAGGAAATCAACGAGAACAGATTTCATCTTGGTTTGGCCACTCTTGAAGTCATCTCCTCCAATCAAACTGTTCCTCTGGATGGCCAAATCAATAAGTCCTGCAATCAAGTTAAAGTTTACATCAAACAGAATCAGTCATCTCTAATTAACACCCCCAGAATCGACGCCCAAACAGCCTTACAAAATCTATCTTGGTAATTACCGGGAACGAAAGTGTTTTGCGGGCTTCCATTGACGAAGGGGATGTTCTCGAGCACACAAGCAATCGCATACAAAGTCGAAGGCGAAATCTCGGACTCGTTCTTCTCCACGGAAGCCATCAAATTCTCTATTGTGTCGTTCAGACCCACCACGATATTGCTGTATCTCTCCGTGTTGGCTGTCCACAGCACCACCACCTTGTCCACCTTAGTTTTCTCCTTAAACTCCCTATTCAAATCGAAGAAAAATTTAGAACCCCACGTAAAAATCACAGCACTAAGATTATCTCACCCAGCATCACAAAATTCTAACTCTAAATCACCATGATCTTGATTACTTATCTTCATTTTCGACTAAACAAAAACCGCTTCAAAGCATGACCCGTTTATAAGATCTACATCATACAACATTTTATCTGTGTATGTCTATACTGATATATGATCATTCACCTCACGTCCTTGATGATCTGCTGGATCTGCTCCTTCTTGGAGCCCTTGATCATGTTGTTGGCACGAGCCCCCTGGTTGGCCGCGATGAAGTCGGGGTCGTAGATCCCAGGGAGCGGGACCATGTGCTCCATGTATGGCCGGAGCTGCTTCTGGAGATCGATGTCAAACACCCTGGCCCTGGCCATGGCGTCGGCCAAGTTCATGTTGCTGATGTCCCAACCCCCAAACACGACATCATCCGGGTTGACCTGAATTCGTCCATGCATTGTCAATTCAAGATCAAATCGAGAAAACTCGGCGAAACCGACCCATTAATGATGATCAATCGATTGATTACCATGGGGAGCAGGCTCTTGAAAGGAGCATAGATCTCTTCTCCATTGTAAGACCCAACACGAATGGTGGATGCTTGGGTCAGAGAGCCGAAATAGTTGGCCTGCTGGACCTTGTCCTTGGTTGCCCAGGAGATTCCTCTGCAAAATTGAATTTTTTTTCAACAAAAACAAACACCCAGCTTTCAATTTTCTTTCCCTGATTCAAATTCATCATTCCCAGAAAAAAATAACATATGAACAGCGATTTCAGCGGCCGAGAGACCTTAAAAAGAACACGAACATGAAAACACAAGAAGATTTCTAGTACAATCGAAACTGGACCCACACCTGAACCCCTTTTTTTAATCATTGCGTAATCCTACCAACCAAAAAGCCGGAATTTCTAATCGAGAAAGCAGAGAGGCGAACATCAATTTTATATTCTGCTGCGCTGCTCTGCTTTTTTCTTTTCCCTTCCACTTTTTTCGTGGCAGAGCATGAACAGAGAGCGTGACGGGACTTACTCTCGGTTCGCAATAACGCCGCCGGTGAGGGTCGCACCGTTGTTTCCGCCCCATCCCACCAGCATCACCCTGCAAAAAAAACAGGGGAGGCCAAAACCAAGAGATCAATCCACTTTCGAAATTCGAAAAGCCAGGAGCGAAACGAGGGGGGGGGGGCTATTTTTTTTTTCCCAATATTTTCTCGGAAAAAAAAGATGGGAGTAAAAATGGGTGAGGCGAAGAGGAGGGGAGGAGGGGAGAGGGGACGAACCCGAGCTTGGGGACGCGGGTGTCGGTCTTGAACTCGTACTTGACGGACTTGGGCTTGACGGTCCACTGGTACGCCCCATTCCGGTTCTCGTGGACGAGCTCGGTGGTCTGGTAGTCGTACACGGAGTGGATCTCGGCGTCGGTGTACGTCACGTTGGGGCTGTCGACCTTGAAGCTCTCGACAAACATCTTCGCTTCTTCCTTCCTTCCTGGCTGGTTGCTGCTGCTGGTTGCTGCTCCTTTCCTTCGCTCGAGAAAAGAGGGAGAGGGGGAAAACGAGAGAAAACGTAGGGCGGGCGTCGAGGGGGGGTGGGGGGGCACAAACGAGAACGCTCGCTTTCTCTCCCTCTTTCTCTCCGGCTCGCTCTTCTTTCTCTCGGTGTTCGGTGCGATCCAGTCGCTCGGGGGTCAGGGAGAGGGATATATAGAGATGCAGGGGAGGAAGCCAGGGCGATACGTGGCGGGAGGTGAGTGGATTGTGGCCCCAGCCCCTCAACCCCCCCTCCTCAACTTAGCAAATTGGCCGTTTCCGTGCGTGCGTGCGTGCGTGCGTGCGTGTGGTGTCTCGTTCCCGTGCGTTATTATTTTCATGGGGGGGAAGAAGGTGGGGTTTGGGCCTCACATGAATTTTTGCCTAATTAAAGCCAACCCCCCTTCCCTCTATCTCTATCTCTATCTCTCATTTTTTTTTTGTTTATGGCAAGAAATCTAGAGGGGGGGAGGAAAAAAGTTTGTGCTTGCCATTGAATTTTTTTCCTCTTTTTTTTTTTTGATGCCCAAAAATATATTCGAGTGGGCTCTAGCGCCCAAAAGAGGTAAATTGCTCGTGTGATCTTTCGCGCCTAGGGAAACAACGGGTTTAGGAAGTAATACGGTCGCATCGGGTGATGGTGGCATAAAAAGAAATGGAGCCGATCATAGACGAGGTGTGTCTAAAGTTCATGTGCGGGCTGAGTAATTTTTTTTTTCCTTTTTCTTTTTTCCCCCTTCTTATTTTTCGTTTATGGCAAGAAATCTAGGGGGGGTGGTGGAAAAAAAATTGTGCTGCCATTGAATTTTTTCCCCTCTTTTTTCATTGTTTTTTTTTTATGCCCAAAAATATTCAAGTGGCCTCTTGCACCAAAAAAGGTAAAATACTCATCTCATTTTTTTCGCTTGACAATGACGTAGAAAGAAATGAGGCGATCATAAACGAGGTATGTCTAAAGTTCATGCGCTGACTTAGTAATTTTTTTTTTCCTTCTCTTTTTTCACCTTCTCATTTTTCGTTTATGGCAAGAAATCTAGGGGAGAGGTAAAAAAAATGTGCTGCCATTGAATTTTTTTCCCTGTTTTTTTCATTGTGTTTTTCTATGCCCAGAAATATTGAAGTGCCCTCTAGCACCCAAAAAAGGTAAATTGCTCATGTGATCCTTCTCACTTAGGAAAGAAATCGGTCTAGCGCCTAATGGAATTTACTTCGGTTGCATCACGTGACAATGACTTAGAACGACCCGCCTCGAACCTCGAGTAAGCCCGTTGATATTTATGCGCGTGGAGGGAGATTTCGGCCATAACACGATTCGATGGTCTGATGCGGAGACGGCGTCTCGGATGGAGTTCCTTAGAAATTCAAAAATAAAGGTCGATTCGGTTGGACCGTTAAGATTGGAAGATTATTTCCTAGTTTAAGTAGATTTTCTTATATAAGTATCTTTCATAATTTGATTAAGTTTCGTAATTTGATAAGATATCCTAGCTTAATTATGTTTCCTAATTTGAGTAAGTTTTATAATTTGATATTTCATAGTTCCTATGTGCTAGTCCGTTTATAAATTGGAGGTGCGTAATCTAAGTTGATAATATAGGAGAATTCTTTTCAAGTGATTTCTTCGATTCTTTATTCGATTCTTTGATGGTTAACCTCAGAGTTTTTCATCCTCCTGGAGGAACATGTTTTTATATCCCAAAGTTATTTTCCCTCAAACGCACCGAACATATTCATGAAAAAAAAAATGATCGGTACCATCCGATAAAGCACTTCAGTCATTGGAGAAAGGAAAAACCCTAAATGGACCAAGACGACCGAAAATGGTTTAGCTATATGGAAAGCTGGTTCTAACAGTTCCATACATGAGTTTAAGCGAAAGAAAATGATTTTGATAGTTGGTCGTGTGTAGGATCTCAACAAGTATTCAGAATCAGTGCTATAGTTCTCGTCACTTCTCTCTTGAAATAGAAAGTATGGATCACCGTAGTGATAGTGTGCAAATTGTTATTTTGCGTGCTTTGTTTAATGTTTGTCCTTAATCCGATGCTTCAATTCTTTATCGATTGTTAGGGGTGGCCACATATCGTGCAAGCAACTTTCTTGGTACCATTAGCATTGATCTCGAGCCAGAATGTCCTCCATATGTCGGACATTCTTCTCCGCAAAGTCATCGCCGGCGTTGATAGGTGGTTTTCTTCTGGTGTAGGGGCTTCCTTCGGGGTAGCATCTTGGCAAGGACCAGGTTGCGCCATTCGCCTTTGTTGATTCCTCGCGATTGTTGGGTTGTTATGTCTCGTCGTCGTTGAATTGGGCTTGTCGCTGAGATGGAGCCAACACGTAGGCTCTGTTGTCTCATAACTCGTTGAACGACTTGAACGAGTTTTGTAGGTGAAGTGTAGGTGGAGCTGTGATAATCGTGGACAGTTGTTATTGTTGTTCTTCTGTATTGTGATATTTAGAGCGTGATTAAATCGTTGTAAGGAGAAAGGAAACAAAAATGAAATTCTCAGAAGGAAATTCTCAGAAGGTTTAAGAGAGCATGAGTGTTAGGAAGGTGTATGTAAGTGAGGGTTCGAGGAATGGAGAAAGTTAGAAAGAGAGGGGGCCAGTTCATCGAGGGAAATTTTTTGTTTGTCCAATGATCACTAGATTTGTGACTGCTAAATGGGCATCGAGCCCTAGAAAATTTTTAAAGATTGAGACCATGTGGGGCCGGCACGTTAGAGCCATCGGCATAGGCCCAACTGGGCATGGTCTCGGGAGTGAATAGCTTGTGCTGTGCCTGAGCCGACATGGCTTGAATGAGGTTGTACTTACTGATTAAGGAGCAAAGTCAGGTGTGTGGGTTAGACGCACAACACATGTTCGATTCCTGACTCCACAAAAATGTAGTTAATTTCATGTTTGAGCCATAAACATAGGCAAGCTCACTTCTTACGTGGTCCATGAAGTTAGTGAAATGCTTCACGGACAAAAGATTTATGATCAGGCGGGCTTTCTCGCCTATAAAAAAGAAGAACAAAATAATGGCGCCTGTGATTTAAGTCAAATAAATGAATTATAATCATTTGCTGACAAAGGATGAAATGGTAATTCAAGATACACAAATAACAATCATATCGTTATACAAGTTAGGGGTAATTGGTTTCAGGTGAATTGGTTCCCACCCTAGAATTGGGAAGCAGACTAGACAGGGTTGGTTCTCAATCCGTGGAATCAGAAATTGACCTTGCCCACCCTTGAACTGGATTGACTAGTCCTATGACTGTAGAAACAATGGTATTATTATTATTTTTAAAATATTTTATTTTCTTTCTCAAAAGTTTCTAAATATAGGATGAAATTTCTAAATACAAAGGAGTTACTAATAAAAGGAGAGATTACTGCCACAAAATATTATGTACTTTTTGCACTTACAGAATATAAAAAATAAAAAGAACTTTGGGCTAGTTATGTTTGGTCGATCCAATTCCTCCCTAGGAATCCGGAATCGGACTGGTTATTTTCTTGGAACAGGAACCAGCATGAATCGGCTGAGTCGGCCTGGTTGTCAAGTTGGATCAGTACTGACACATACTCCCAATACAAGTCTCTCCTAAACTTCAAAGTTGAATTAAGCCTTCTCCATTCTCTTAGCTGAATCGCATTTTGCTTTCCTTATTCAACATTTTTTCCCCCTTTTCTTTTACACATTCGTATGTGCCTTTGAAGTCTCGAATTTGGTTAATTGGTAATGCATACCAAAAGTTGAATCCTAATGGTTCTTAACATAGTTGAGAAAATTTTCCATGTTAGATAGGATATTTTCAGACCAAAAAATCAAGGGATATTTTCCATTTCCGAAGTAACGTCAATACATTTCGAAGAATGAGATAATGACACAAATGATCCTTGAACTTTGGTCAAATATGCAATGTGTCCCATGAATTTTAAATTTATTCAATGTGTAATATTGTCCCTGAACTTTTAAATTATTCAATGTGGTCCATGAACTTTAGCTCAATGTGTGATGTTGTCCCTGAACTTTTAAATTGTTCAATATAGTCGCTAGACTTTTTGTACTTGTTCAATATAATCTCTGAATTATATGAAAATGTTTAATGCTGTTCTTCTATTTATTTAAGTTCATGGAAAATATTGAACATTTTCATATAGTTCATTCAAGTTCGAAATCCATATTAATTAATAGTTCTTGAATTGCAAATGAGTCAAATAAATTAAAGGTTAATGGATTATATTGCAACGTTAACCCAATACTTTAATAAATGAATGGGATAGAAAAAGAAGTACATTATCACACATTCAAGGTCAGCATTTTTTCCATCATCATAATCATTATTATTATTACAATTTTTTTTTGCAATTTCCATTGTTTTTTCTCTGTCTTTTCTTTTTTTCTCTCTTTTTTCAGAGGAAGGAGCGAGAGAGGGCTACGTGGCAAGGCAACTGAGGAAACGAAACCGGGGGCTGCTTCCTCGTCCCACCGAGCCGCACGTACGGGGGCGACACGAGCGAAGCGCAGAGGAGGGGACGCGTGGCTCGTCGCCCACGCCACGTGGCGCCTCGCCCAGCGTGCCAAACCGAAAGCCGGGGGGTGGGGCCCAGGAGTCAAGGTGGCCAAAGGCGGAGAAGGCGCTGGAAACAACCCCCCCCCCCCCCGGAAAGTTGACCGACGTGGGACTCGTCCTTTCGCGCGGGAATTCGTGCGCGGTGTCGTTGGGGGAAATTTTGGACTCTTGCGGGCCTTTTAACTGCCGTCGACACTCGGATTCATCGTTTTTCACGAAAACATTAGTAATAATAATAATAATAAATAATGTCAGAATTTAGGGCACAAAGTTTTCGGTTTCCTCCACGTTAAATGCTAAAGCTTTGCTTCTACTTGAATTGAGGGTCATTACGCCAATTCAACACTCTCCACTTCCCCGTGACTCTCTCCAAAACCACGAAGAAAATAGGAATTAAATCAACCAAAATAAGAAATTTGGTGATTTTTTTC